ATGTGTTTACTCTGCCCACTTCTGTCCAATTCTTTAGTTGACATTTGTTTCTAGCATATTGTAACATGTTCCCCCCCCCCCTTCCTTTGTAATTCAGTATTTAAATTATGTATGCATCCTGTCAGTTGTTTGTCATGAATTTGATACTTTATGAATCCAAAACCCTCATACACCTTTATAGGTGAATTATGGTTCGGGGCATGACAAACCTCTAATATTGTTGTCCATGATACTGGATTGGATTCTTTGAATCCCAAACTCAATCAGTTCCCATTCCCTTTCCCCCTTTATGTGTTGTTGAGCTTTAGACTTGGGTCTGGCAGTGTCCTAATCACTGTCCAGACTCTGGTCTGACCTTCAAGGGTCTGCTCTTAATGTGTTTGACCAGGCAGGTGGTCAGGGGTGTGCCAGCCTACTTTGTAGCTAGGTATGACCACCACCTGTCATGGCCCCCTAATTCCCTTTCACTTTGCACTTACTCTTAGCTATAAGTTCTGCCCCTCTCTTGCAAGCCATGCTTTGGGACCCCCGAGCTCCCTCTGAACTTGGATGCATGAGAGCCGGCTCTTCCACACTGCACTATTCTAATTCTGGTAGTATCCTGGGTGTAAGCAATGCCTGGAATCCCTGAGATTCCTTGGAACTTTGAAGCACCTTGGATAAAGAGAAGGCTTTGGCAATCTAGATCCCGGAAGTGGCTCAATTGCATGTTATTAGACATTAAGGTTGAATTAGGCTACTCGGATCTAGCTGTTAGCTTTTGATGTATCCTTTAATTTCCAGTTTGATTCATTGGGTTGTAATAATTTTGTATGAAACTCGGGGAGTATAGTAAAAGGGTATGGGAGGGGTCTTTACTTTTCTTGTATCCAAGGGGTAGAAATCATGAATTAAGATTTTATTCAAACTAGAAATCCTGTCTATAGGGTCTTTAATACTGATTCAATCACATAGAGACCATGCCTATAGGATTTAACGCTTAACTTTACCGCAAAAATCACCTAGAAAGCATGTCTATAGGATTTAACATTCACGTTCTGTAATGACACATATAGAGATCATGTCTATAGGCTCTTGCATTTCTGCATATATAAATATCATTAGGCAAACCGTTTATAGGCTTAATAACAAAGTTGCATATAGACATCATGTGTATAAGACTCTTATTGATATCAGGAAAGGGTGTTAAAATCAGTAAACATATAGAAAGCATGCCTATAGGAAACCTCGTCATTAATAGCATCATTCGTTCTTAAACAGTATCGATTGCTGGAATTAGTGTCTTTATTAAAACTGGTAATTTTCTACTTCTGAAACCCGCTAAAATTGGTAAACCTTTTTCCTATAGCCAATCTGCACTCCCACGAAACTCGTAAACCTTTTAATCAGTCTACATCTTTTCTGAAACAACTGGGAACTCTTTTCTAAAAATTGGTTTGCATCTTTTCTCTTTGTTTAAACTGATAATTCTTTTTTTCTAAAATCAACTTGCATCTTTTCTGAAACTACTGGTACCTCTTTGCATCTTTTTCCTGAAATTAATAGATCCTACGCCTAGGTTTTTCATTTCAACTCATAAACAAGGGTTGGCTAATCAATGAATTGGGTCAGTCCCTGACAACTGTATCCGAGTTGCCTAATGCAGACTCTCTGTTTAAATACATGTGATGAACCAGTCTGCTCGCTGCTTAATTTAATCTAAGACCAAATCAGTATTTGTCAAGGTATGCTAGACTAAATGATTTTTTGACTTCTAGGTTAATTTGAGCCTTGTATGCTTGCTTGTCCTCCCCTTTTACTTGATACTTGTTTTGAATGTCGAGCTAGAATTTTATCCTTTAAACTCCACAAAGGCCCCCCATCCCTTTCTTCCCCTTTATGATTAGAAGTCCTAATGCCCCGGGACTAATAGGATTGGGACAGGTAGTAGCATGCGATAAGTAAACGATACCGTTCCGCGCTTTAATACCTTAACAGGGTGGGAAGGGTAGACATGGAGATGATGATTACACGTTAACACTCCGCGTACATTTGAGTACCAGTGTTGTGCGAATGATCCATGTAATGTATAAACCTAGGACCCCTTTCTCCTTCTTTATTAGTTTAATAAAATTTTCTGAATCTTTAAAGCTATTGCATTTTCAGTTCCTGCTTCTCGCATGATCTTTTCGGATTATTTGCACTAAGTACTTGACCTTTTTCTCCACTTGCACGTTTTTTACAAAATTGCTCCTTTAAAATTCAGCACTTCTTTTAACCTTTTGTGCTTCTTGTACTTGTTTATTTTTTACATCTAAAGTCACAATTGTAGCATGGCCGGGAACCACACTAGTGGATCTTGAGGGGTGCCTAAAACCTTCCCCTCGAGATAATTTCAAGCCCTTACCCAAAACTCTGGTCTGCATCTTTAATTCTTCTAAAAGTGTCCTAATGCACTATAATCATTAGGTGGCGACTCTCCAAACTCTCAAAAAACTCAATTCCCAAAGTGGAAAAAGAGTTGTCTTCCCAAATGTCGTGAACCCGATTCCGCGAGGAAAAAGGGGGCGTCGACATTTGGTTTAACCCTAACTTGAGGGAATAGGAGTAGAGTCTTATTTGTTAATTGCTATTTGTCGAGTATGGTGTATAGGCATGGTGACGAGTATCTATACACGGGTGTCGAGCATGACCGTGAGTCCTAATTTGCTAAATTATCGAATTTGTAATTGTTATTTATGAGGAATTGGTTGGAAATCTTTAACACTGAGTCAGTAATTGTTGAGACTAAGTAGTGGATGTAATTGTAGTTGAGTAGAGATTGAATGAGTTTGGCTATAGCTGGATCTCCCTGACTGGGATAGTTTATTATATTACATTGCTCCCTTGCCGGGATAGTTATTATAACATCTTTCTCCCCTTGCCGGGATAGTTATTATAACATCTTTACTCCCTTGCCCGGGGATTAGTGTTGTGTATTGTGTTGAAATGGAATCGTGTGGCACGCCGACCACGAGTTATTATGAAATGGGATCGTGTGGCACGTCGACCACGAGTTATTATGAAATGGGATCGTGTGGCACGCCGACCACGAGTTATTATGAAATGGGAACGTGTGGCATGCCGACCACGTGATATTATTGTAATGGGAGCGTGTGGTACGCCTACCACGTGATGTAAGAAAATGGGATCGTGTTGCACGCCTGCAATGAGAGGAAATTGAAATAAGTGAAAGTGGTTTGTTTTCCTTTATTCTGTGTTAGAAGAAATCAGATGTAGTTTCTCTTGTTATTCCTGATATTCCGTTTATCTGCTTCCCCACAAGCATGTTCCCCCTTCCCAGCTTTAATTGCTTACTTTCCGCTATTATTTTGTTGTACTTGTATATATATATATCTGCACAAGTTTATCTGGTAGTCTGGTCTAGCCTCGTCACTACTTCGCCGGGGTTATGCTTGGCACTTACCAGCACGTGGGGTCGGTTGTGCTGATGCTACACTCTGTGCATCTTTTTGCACAGATCACAGTACTGGAGCAGCAGCTTTTGGACAGCAGTAGGAGCATTTGGGAGCTGACTTCAGTCCAGAGATCCCGAGGTAGCCTTGCTGACGTCCGTATGGCCCGGAGTCTCTTCTATCCTTATTTCGTTTGTTGTCCTTGTACCGAAACAAATAGTATTGTATTTTATTCAGACTCTGTTTTTAGTATTCTATAGACGTTCGTGAGTTAGTGACTCCAGTCTTGGGTAGAGGTTGTAATGGAATTTTCGCACTTGTTTTCAGTTCATTTATGTTTAAGACTTCCGCTTTTATATTAATTGTCTCATTGTCTCAATATTGTCGATGTTTGCCTAAGAATGTATATAGTTAATTGGCTTACCTAGCTCCTATTAGTAGGCGCCATCACGACTCCTGAGGGTGGGGAATCCGGGTCGTGACAAGTTTGTATCAGAGCACTAGGTTACATAGGTCTCACAACTCACGGACAAACTCGGTAGAGTCTGAGGGATCGGTACAGAGACGTCTGTATTTATCCCCCAGAGGTTGCAGAGTTAGGAAAACTTCACTCTTGTTCTTTTGTGTCGTGCGATTCTGTTTCCCAAACACTGATTGTCTTTCTACTCTGTTCTTTCGCAGATGGTGAGAACACGTGCTTCCTCTTCTACCGCGCAGCAGCCCGAGCCCCCCAGCAGCAGCTCCTACGAAGGGCAGAGGGCGAGGCCGAGACCGTGCCAGAGGCCGAGGCCGGGGCAGAGCTCAGCCCCGAGCAGCAGTCCTAGAGGTGGAGCCCCATGTTGATTATGATGAGGGGGTTCCAGCCCCAGCAGCTCCGGCGGGCCCAGCTCAGGTCCTAGAGGGGTTTATAGCCACCCCAGTTCTTCAGGACGCTTTGGTCAGGTTGGTAGGCTTTATGGAGAGCGTCTCTTGAGCGGGTTTGCTTCCAGTAGCACCAGCTACTTCTCAGGCTGGAGGAGGGGTTCAGACTCATGTTACACGTACTCCGGAGCAGGTAGCTCCCCAGGCTCAGGTTCCAGCGGTCCAGCCAGCTGTGGCAGTTTAGCCGGGTATTATGACTCAGACCGGCGACGGAGCGGCTATGTCCGCAGATGCTTTGTTGAGGCTGGATAGATTCACCAAGCTCTTCACCACCACATTCAGCGGTGCTTCTTCAGAGGACCCCCAGGATTTCTTATATAGCTGCCATGAGGTTCTTCGGACTATGGGTATTGTGGAGACCAATGGGGTCGACTTCGCCACCTTTCGACTAGCAGGATCTGCCAAAACTTGGTGGAGAGACTATTGTTTATCCAGACCAACAGGGTCACCATCATTGACGTGGGACCAGTTTGCAGAGTTGCTTTTGGAGAAGTTTCTCCCAGTTACTCAGCGAGAGGCTCTTCGCAGGCAGTTCGAGCGCCTCCAGCATGGCTCTATGACAATCACACAGTATGAGACCCGGTTCATTTATCTTGCTCTCCATGCTATTGTGATACTCCCCACCGAGAGAGAGAGGGTGCGGAGGTTTATTGATGGGTTGATCCAGCCGATCCCTCTCCAGATGGTTATGGGAGCTGGGAGTGAGATTTCGTTTCAGAAGGCAGCCAACGCGCCCCGTAGAGTTGAGATGGCTCTTGCACGGGGAGGTGGTCATGGGTCAGACAAGAGGCCCCGTCATGCAGGTAGGTTCAATGGTACCTCGTCTGGAGGTGGGGNTATATATATATATATATACACGCGCAAAGGAATTACAAAATCTAGAAACACACTTAAAACGCTTTAGGGACTTGACAGGAATGCAAATAAAGATTATTTCTTGTTAAATCCATGGATTTCTTCTTAAAGGCTTCATCGATAGTTTTAATTTGTTGAAAACCTTTTTATACCACTAATTAGGGTCCTTTTCCTTCCAAAAACTTTAATTGCCTTTCGTTTGTTTTTTTTTTTTTTTTTTTGTTTTTTTTACCAGCATGACAAGAGAACTAGGATACTTCGTCTTGAAAACGAGGTGGAAAAAAAAAAGATAAAATCCTTATGAATTATCACAGTTCTTTTTTTCTCTATTTTGAATAATCTTAGGTATATATATATATACCTTTTCAGTTTATGTATAAAAATTCGTTACAGTTGCAGCAAATAGTAGGTCTAAACCTACATATGTAAAAATAAAATAAATTTTAATGTAAGAACCCTTAAAAATTGATGTCATAAAGCTTAAATCCTGAATTTGCATTCGTTACCCAAAAAATTTAACGAGTCCAGAGATAGGGATGGCAAACGGTGCGGTTGCAGGGCAAACCCGCATAAACCCGCAAGGATTTCAACCTGCCCCGCATAGCATTTTTACCCGTGTCCACCCATCTCACACCAACACCCACATCCACCCGCCCCGCAACGCAACCGCATAGTTATTATACCAACTGTTATGCAGGTAAGTAGGTAGATTTGTTATATTTAAACCGACTTCTATTCTTGAAAATTTCCCTCTCTTTGGGTCTTTTTAGAATCTAAGCCTTGATCCAGGCATCAAGTTTAAAGCTTGAGTACAAGAAAACTAAATAACAAGACTTACATATGAACACCTTATAAACTTTTGACAGGCAATTTACAGCAAAAGTACAATAAGATTTTGTCCAATGTACATATCAATGCTAATACTGATCTTAGATCTGAAGGCAAGTAAATATCAAACGCGCACGCGTCTAATCTGTGTTTGAGTGTAGAGGGACTTAAAATAGAGAACAAAGAAGTTAAGCTGAAGAATTATGCTGTTCCATTGGTAGCCTCAACAGGCATGGCAATGGCCAGCAACGATAACGGACTGCAGCTTCTTATAGCATCAGACTATAAATCATTTCAACCTTTTGATCTTGTTAGTAGCTTCCATTATATTTTGGCCCCATGATGAGTTTTCTAGGTTTAATAATCTTGCGAGTCGCTGAGAAGCCTCATGAAATCTATCTTCCACAGCACATGTCTCTGTCTTTAGAGCAAAGATAACATCATTGACATCTTCCTCTAACTGAAGGTGGAAGACGTGAGGAAATACCTGGAGAAAGAACACACAATTTTTGAATCAGATCAAATTGTCATATGCCAAGTGTGCTTATTGACATCCACTTAAGCTAATTGTATCCAAAAGAAACTCTAGGATGGTGGCTAACTGTTAGAATGTGCACTATCAGTGATCCGTTTTCCAGTAGAAAGCACTAATATATGGAAGTTGGGCAGCGGGTACATCAGCAAAATTCAAAATCATATGCCATATGGCAACTAAAAGTTGTGCAAACAGCTAATATGGCCTTCACCAAAAAAAAAATAATAATAATAATAACATGCATTCTTTGAAGGACTGAGAGTTACTATGTAATTCGCAAACTAGTGTCAGGAAAAGTTTAATTCTCACCGACTTTAATTTGGAGTAAATTGAATCCTTGATGGCTTGTGACCTCGATACCAAATTGATTACAAATAGACCTTGATCAGAAAGAGAACCTTTTGCTGCCATAAGGAATGTCTCTTCTACAAAGTCTGCAGCTGGACAACTTAAACCGGAACTGCCAACAAGAGAAAAAGATAAAGAATAGCTACTGAAGTTGGTGCTATAGCGAAAAAGGAAATATGAATATAAGAAGAAATGTATGGTGAATAGGCCCATTTACCTCGAGTCTGAAGAGTCCACATCAACAATGAGCATGTCGATTTTTTCAGTGCTTTTAAGTGGTGCATGGGACAAAATGGAACTACCGTTGGAAGAAGGGACCTTTGCCTCAGAAAGATTATTTTCATCGCATATAGTAACTGCACAAGCTAGATCCTTAACATACTTTAGACCATCGGTAATATGTACCTGAAACACCATGAAAGAAATTGAAAGGTGACCGTTGGTGTGAGTTCTTACAAGCATCTGACCTCTGAGTTAGGCTTCTCATATTATCTATAAGATAACATTTTGTGCTCTCATAAAGGGAGCTAAAACCTTGAATTGATCCCCACCCTAATCATAAGGTGTTAGTCGCGTTACTGCAGAGTACGGCAATCCTGGCATAATCATCCTCAAGATTTCCACTAAAACCAAGAGAGAGAGAGAAAGAAGCAACCAGCCTCTTGAGATGTTGGGTCTAAAATATACTTGTTTGTGCACATTACAATTAGCTGGAAATTGCCCCCACCCCCAAACTACTGCTTACATTCACTTAACCTGTGGCAAATAGAGATAATATTGTGAAATTGGTGACCCAATGTAACGTATTGCTTTCCAAAACATTATTCTCTTTATTAAACCTCTAAATAACCTATTTTATTCACCTCAGCATTTTTAAATGTAGCCACCGAGGGAAGTCAAACAGCGATTGAAAATCCTAGCTGATTTTGAATGAATATTGCATCTTGGATACCATCCTATACTTGCATTTAGCGATTAACTTAATACTGAAGAATAAGAAAAAGAGAAAAAAGAAGGGGGTAGGGGGAGGAGGAGAAATAATGACAGTAAGAGGGGGAGTGAAGACTGTAAATTACCTTTAACCGTTCATCATCTCTAAAATCAAAATAGTCTCTAGCAAGATCTAGAACCACTGGATCTAACTCCAACACCTGTGAATATCATTATAAGCCCGTTTGGCAAGATAGCAAAATCAATTAAATAACAAAAGACAGATACAACTACCCTCTCCAGATCCCACTTGTGGGAATATACTAGGTATGTTGTTGTAAAAATAAATATAACGATTAACCTTAATCAATCAAAAGGTTTATTTTAGTTGATTTTCATACTTTAATGGTCGTCATGTTGCCATTCAAACTCTCTAACATTTCGCTGTGCTATTTGCATATTCCAAAATCATGGCACTTTGCCATCTTCAAACATTTTCTGGCAAAAATTAAATATTATGTCATGTGCACACCTTTAGTGCAGATTAAGTAGTGTTGACGAAAGCTGTACCACTATACAATTATCCCCTCAAAAATCATAGCTTCTATATCTAATTTGAGCACTAAATCAACACAACATGAAATCCTATCTAATGCATAACATTATGGAACAAATGTCTTTCTAACTTTTCATGTGATAGATAATTCATATTCTAGTTTTGCCAATATAAACAACAAAATTATATGGATTACACATAGATATACATACTTAGGTCCTACTGTGCATGTCCTCAAGTACATGAGGGTGTAAATACGAATTTGAAATAACAAGGACCTTCATGTTGTTGAGAATGAAGATAGACATGTATCATGTATGGTGGATGCTGTGAACTAGTTCAATTACAAATGTCTGTAATTCCACATTGTCTTTCTTAGCATGTCAGCCGTTACTTCCTTTTTTTCATAATAACTTCTGCTTTCACATTTTTTTCCATGTGCAAAGTGACAGACAATTTACAATAGATGGCAAATTGGAACTTTAAAGGTATGAATGGCACAGGAAAGAAGTGAAAATAAAATAAAAGCGGCACATTTATGTAAACATACTTTACCTTGATCTGTGCAAACGTGAGGTGTTTATATAGAAACATTGGAAGCAATCCTGCTCCAAGACCAATTACTACAGATCTTACCTGAAAAATGAAGAACTGCAGCTTTAACCTAAAGCACAATGCACTCTCCCGAGATGGACTAGAAGCTCACATAAAATAGGTTGTATCATGAATCTTAAGTTACTGAAGAGATATTCTAGTGCATAGACGTTATGTTCTTTTAAATATGGATTTAAAGGACGTGTCATGCAAATGCTTAAGAGAAGGGGATGTTATGGTGATAGGACTTACTATAGCTGAATACGTGGGTGGGTTGATGACTATGCATTTTGGTGTGTTCCATCACGACAGATCTTAAAATTAGTGTTCACACCTGACACCATGATTCCTTTTTGAAAATAAAACAAGATAAAATCTGTATTTTTAAATTTTGTTAGAAAACGGTAAGAATTCATCAATTCAATGAGGTTGAACTGGACATATACTCTATCAGACAAATCTGCACTTATTTGACAAATAAGCACAGCACAAAGAACTAAGGAATTTTCTCCTTTCAATGCAGAGCAACATTTTAAGCTAAAAAGAAACTCAAGTTCAGAAACTCTACAGGTTATCCGTACTAAAAGAGATAAGTTTACTTCTTACCACACCTCCAGTAGATGCCAAACTATCCAAATGAGAAGATATCAACGTAAAACCGGAGATGATTCCAGTATGATAAGAGCTGGCCAAATAACTGTGGTCAACTTTCAAATCGCCGTTCACTCCTGTGATAGAATGAAAATAATTGCACGTCATAATGAAGCTCAGACTTAAAATTGAGTGTTTATCAAATTTGACGAGTAAAATCAAACGGTCCTCCTTCCCCTTAGCCAACTCTTATTTTCCCTCTTTTTTCCTTTTGCCGTTTGCAACTACCACTCCAAGGAAGAAAAACTAAAAGAAAGTGTGAGAACGCACGGGAGAAAATATGATTGATATTATTCTCATATGTTAAATATGATACAATGAGCCCTATATATATACATAACATGTCCTACTCCTAATACATATGGGATTAGGGTTACATAACTATTCTAACACTCCCCCTCAAGCTGGTGCATATAAATCATATGTACCGAGCTTGTTACATATGTAGTTAATACGAGTACCAGTGAGAGACTTGGTGAAAATATCTGCAAGCTGATCATTCGAATTCACAAACTTTGTAGCAATATCTCTCGAGAGTATCTTTTCTCTGACAAAGTGACAGTCAATCTCAATGTGTTTAGTTCTCTCATGGAACACTGGATTTGACGCAATATGAAGAGCAGCTTGATTATCACACACAAGTCCCATCTGACTAATCTCACCAAATTTCAACTCTTTGAGCAACTGTTTGATCCAAGTTAGCTCACATGTAGCCATAGCCATTGCTTGATATTCTGCTTCTGCACTAGACCGAGCAACCACATTCTGTTTCTTGCTCTTCCAAGATACCAAATTTCCTTCTACTAAGACACAATATCCAGAAGTAGAACGTCTATCAGAAGGTGATCCTGCCCAATCAGCATCTGAGTATCCAACGATCTGCTCATGGCTTCGATCCTCAAACAATAAACCTTTGCCTGGAGCTGATTTTATATACCGAAGAATGCGAACAACTGCATCCCAATGACTATCACACGGAGAATCCATAAACTGACTCACAACACTCACAGGAAAGGAAATGTCAGGTCTTGTCACTGTAAGGTAATTTAATTTACCAACCAACCGCCTATATCTTGCAGGATCGCTAAGAGGCTCCCCCTGTCCTGGCAGAAGTTTAGAATTCGGATCCATCGGAGTGTCAACAGGTCTACAACCTGTCATTCCTGTCTCCTCAAGAATATCTAAGGCATACTTCCGTTGTGAGATCACAATACCTGAGCTAGACTGAGCGACCTCAATACCCAGAAAATACTTTAGTTTGCTCAGATCCTTAGTCCGAAAGTATTGAAAGAGATGTTGCTTCAATTTAGTAATACCATCCTGGTCATTGCCGGTAATAACAATGTCGTCAACATAGACCACCAGATAAATACAGAGACTCGAAGCAGAATGCCGATAGAATACAGAGTGATCAGCTTCACTCCAAGTCATGCCAAATTCCTGGATAACTGTGCTGAACTTACCAAACCAGGCTCGAGGAGATTGCTTTAGACCATAAAGTGACCGGCGCAAGCGACATACAAGGCCACGAGACTCCCCCTGAGCAACAAACCCAGGTGGTTGCTCCATATAAACTTCATCCTCAAGGTCACCGTGTAAAAAAACATTCTTAATGTCCAGCTGATAGAGTGGCCAATGGCGAACAGCAGCCATGGATAGAAAAAGGCGGACTGATGCTATCTTAGCCACGGGAGAGAAGGTATCACTGTAATCGAGCCCAAATATCTGAGTATATCCCTTAGCAACAAGACGAGCCTTAAGACGATCAACCTTACCATCCGGACCAACCTTGACTGCATACACCCAACGACAACCAACAGTAGATTTACCTGAAGGAAGAGGGACGAGCTCCCAAGTACCACTCGTATGTAAAGCAGACATCTCGTCAATCATAGCCTGTCGCCATCCTGGATGAGACAATGCTTCACATGTAGACTTAGGGATGGAAACAGAGGACAAAAAAGATAGAAAAGCATAATAGGGTGATGACAAACGATGATAACTTAAACCGACATAATGGGATTAGGATTAAGGGTGGTCCGTATACCTTTCCGAAGTGCAATCGGTGTACTAGGAAGAGACAAGTCCGCAGTAGGAGCAGGGTCAGGTGCAGGACGTGAATCAGCTGGGCCTGATGCTGGGTGCGGATGACGATGATATGTCAAGAGTGGTGTTCCTGTGGCAGGGAGTGTAGGAGGAGCCACACTAGACTCCCCAACGGTTGGAATGGGTAAGACTTCTGTGGCGGAAGGTGAAGGAGGAGCTATAGTAGACTCCTTAAAGGTCGGTATAGGTAAGACCTCAGATATATCAAGGTGGTCAGAATCGTCAAAAGAGGTAAAGAAAGGTTTAGGCTCAAAAAATGTGACGTCGGAGGACATAAAGTACCTACGAAGATCAGGTGAGTAACAACGATATCCCTTCTGAACACGAGAATAACCAAGGAAGACACACTTGAGAGCACGAGGAGCTAACTTATCTTTCCCAGGGGCTAAGTTATGAACGAAACAAGTGCTCCCAAAAACACTAGGGGGAACAGAGTATAAGGGTGACTGGGGAAACAATACTGCATACGGAATCTGATTCTGGATGGGAGATGAAGGCATCCGATTAACCAAATAACAAGCTGTGAGAACTGCATCGCCCCAAAAACGCAACGGAATATGAGATTCAATGAGAAGTGTGCGAGCAGTCTCAATGATGTGCCTATTCTTTTTCTCTGCAACCCCATTTTGCTGAGGGGTATAAGGACAAGAGATCTGATGAATAATTCCTTGAGAAGTCATAAACTGCTGAAATTGAGAGGATAAATATTCTACGGCATTATCACTGCGAAAAGTGCGAATGGAAACACCAAATTGATTTTTAATTTCAGCACAAAAATTGAATGATCATCAATGAAACTAACAAAATAACGAAATCCCAAGGTTGAATTGACTTTACTAGGACCCCATATATCAGAATGAACTAAAGAAAAAACAGACTCTGCATGACTCTCAATACTACGAGGAAAGGAGGCTCGGATATGTTTCCCGAGCTGACATGACTCACATTCTAATGTAGATAAACTAGACAAACTAGGCACCATCTTCTGAAGCTTGGATAAACTTGGATGTCCTAAACGTCTGTGAATTAGGTCCGGAGGATCTGTAACTAGACATGCCTTGGAGGAATTGAGTGAGTTAAGGTAGTAAAGGCCTTCTGATTCAAGTCCTGTTCCAATCGTCTGTCCCGTACTGCGGTCCTGCATAATAAAAGAATCATCAATAAAATATATACCACAATGAAGGGCACGAGTCAAACGACTAACAGATGCAAGATTAAAAGGACAGCCAGGGACATAAAGAACGGAATCTAGAGTGACAGAGGGTAGGGGATTCGCTTGTCCAACACCTTTTGCTTTAGTTTGAGACCCATCGGCTAAAGTAACAGTGGGAAGAGACTTTGAATACGCAATATTTGACAAAAGTGATTTATTACCAGAGATATGATCAGAAGCGGCTGAGTCCACAACCCATTGTCCAAGAGTACTAGACTGGGAAACACAAGCAAAAGAATTACCAGCAACAGAAGTATCAGTCTGAGCAACAGAGGCTACTTGTGGAGATGTCTGCTTACTTGCTCGATATTGAAGGAACTCTTATACTCCCCTTCAGATAAAGAAAATCCCTGGTTACCTGTAGTCTCGGTCTGAGCAACATAAGCATTTTTGGGTGGGCGACCATGTAAAGAATAGCACACGTCACGAGTGTGTCCAAGTTTATGACAATAAGAGCACTTGGGTCTAGATCTTCCAAAACGACCTCCTCCTCGTCTATTCTCCATAGTTTGAGATGCCCGATTGTCCACAGACTGGGATACGAGGACAGATGAGTCAAGTGTCTGTGATGAGCTCCCTGGGTGACTTGGTGCTGCAGCAAGGCGAAGTAATCGAGAGAATAATTCATCAACTGTGGGGACAGTCGGACTAGCCAAAATCTGATCACGTACTGAATCAAGGTCATTAGGGAGTCCAGCGAGTGTAAGAACTAGAAACATCTTCTATCGTTGCTCTTGTTGCTTTTCAATACTAGCAGAAACTAGCATCAACGTCTCAAATTCTTCCATGACTGTCTGTACTTGTCCCAAGTAAGTAAACATATCTAATTCCTGTTTCTTCAAGCTTGTCATTCGCGATATTACATCATAGAAACGAGATATGTCATTAGTGTATAAATTACGAGCCTTTTCCCAAACTAGATAACATGTCTGGAATGGACGAAACAAGGGCATCAATTTGGAATTAATAGATCGCCACAGGATACTACATAACTGAGCATCGACCTTCTCCCAAAGTGTTTTGGCCTTTTCATCACCTTCGCTAGCCTTTTTTGTTAAATGATCTTGAACTCCTTGACCTTTACACCACAACTCGACAAACGAAGCCCAAGCTAAGTAGTTTGAACCTCCCATTAAAGGTTCTGAGGTAATCATAACACAGGAACTGCCAGAACCCGGGTTTTTAGACCCGAAAGCATCGACTCCCAAAGACATCGTTGGATTATCACCAAATAACAGAAAGAATCAACTGACAACTCGCTGAAACAGATGAAGGAAACACTGTATTTTGCCGGAAAAAGTCAGTGTAGTCGCCGGAAAAACTCAAAGTGGTCGGAATCAAACGAAAAAGGTATGGATAGACTCGGAATTACTAGGCGATCCGACTGTCCAACTGGAAGTTTTTCAAAAAATGGCCGGAACAGTGCTCACGCGCCGGCGCGTGGGGCGCGTGGGTCAGATCTCGCCGGAAAGTTCTGGCACGTGAGGGCGCGTGTACGTGATTTTTCCGGTGGGGTTTACTGGGGTTTGGTCGCCGGAGCCTGAGGAGTCTCGTGGTGGTGTTGGTTTTTTGCACACACCAACAGAAATTGATGTGATTACGGGCAGCCTTCTAAGTCGCCGGAAAATTGCACGGCGACGAGGTCTTTCTTCCCGGAAGTCGCTAAAGCTCTGATACCATGTGAGAATGCACGGGAGAAAATATGATTGATATTATTTTCATATGTTAAACATGATACAATGAGCCCTATATATATACATAACATGTCCTACTCCTAATACATATGGGATTAGGGTTACATAACTATTCTAACAGAAAGGAAAAAAGATGTTTCCTTGTGGAAGATTATCTCCGTACTAATTTTATACTTCCCAATTATTTTACTTTTTTCATGAAATGTCAAAAGTTTTTCATTGCCGTGTATCCAAAATAAAATAAAAGAGTAATAATATTGGTCTTCATCTGACGATTTTTTAACAATTTTAAATTTCTCGCTTTTCTACCTTTTATTTTGAGTGTAATCTCTAACTCCATCTAACAGAGTAAAATATATCATATTTCCATAAACAATCCATCCACTAGTCAAAACAAGTCATTTAAAGGATGAAGACAACAGCAGCAAGAGGAAAGTAGTACATGACGCTGAAAAAATAAGATAATGCAGTCAAGTTCTTGAAAAGCAATCATAATATTATGCAGCTAAGGTTTTATGAAGGAAAGTAAAGCTACCATCAGAGAATGAGATATTAGATCCAGATCTTTTCTGATTTCCCTTTTTCTCAAGTTTTGAAGATTGGCCTCTCTTCTGATTAATATCACCGACAGTTTTCGGTGATCCTTTTCTTGATAGAACTGCCTCAGATTGAACTAAACTCTCAGTTCTTTGAAAAGTAAGTCGACGAAATATCACATCCTCGGATGGAAAGAGACAGCTAATATTGTCATCAACTTTCTCGTAGATCACATCATCTACAGTAATTGGACCAGTCAAGGGAGATGTGATCTACAGAAGACAATGGAGCAGGTAATAGATTAGAACATAAGGTGCACAACTTTTAATAAAGCAAAACCGTTTAAAAGATATAATGGGTTATGCACTTATTAAGATGAATTAGCTATTCAACTTCCTCCCAAGAAAAAGAATTGAACGACAGCCAAAGAAATGGATAGGGCAATAAGAACAGTCATAACAAGAATACAATGTTATAACGGAATGATAATTGATTAAAAGGATTTTCATGGACCTCTTGAACAATCTTCCGCTGCTTGATTCCATCACCTGCTGCCATAAAACTGCGAAAAGCACAAACCAGTAAAAAGATCTTAGTAAGGCAGAAGTTTACAGGAAACAAGTTTTCTGTAGCCAAATTTCTCAATATTAGAAATACACATTTGTTGCTAAAGACTTACAATTATAGCTTGAAATTTTTGTTAAATTAATTAAGAGTTTCTGGATAGCAAACTGCACTTAAAACTAGTTGAATTGATCAATCAGACATTCGACCACTTTATTCCTATGTACTCCTTATGTTGAATTGATCAATCAGACATTCGACCACTTTATTCCTATTCTACTTCTTATGTTTGGGTAGCCATATTTGGGTAATGGATAATAAAGGAACTACACAAATTGAAATTCAAGAAATTTCCTTAAAATTCAAAAACTGTTTAATATAAATGAAAGAGAGATGGCTAAATCCAAAGGTAAATTATGAAAAGTAACTTACGGTATCTGAGCTTCACCGTCACAATTTCCTGGGGCCAATTGCATTACCAGAGGAGACAGATCTTTCTGAACAAGAAAAAGAAATATGCAAATAAGTTGACCGAAAACCACTGTTTGCATCAGCTGATGAAACAACATATCAATGAAATGTCGCAAAAGTCACCTGGATGTCATCCATACTGGCATTGGAATGGCTAGAATCCAACAAAATCTACAAAAACACAATTCACTCCATCAGAGTCTTACAAAGATAACAGAAATAGTAACAAACACATTTTAATGAGTGGGTACCATTATTAGACGAGCAGCCTTTGAGCTTTCTACAACTAACCATTGTCCTTCTTCTGAAGAGAAGAGCCACTCACAAGCTCGAGTCTGAATTCTAAGCATCAGTTAAATTCTTATACATCTCAAAAAAAGACTATTGAACTATGATCTAAGAACTTACTATCATACCAAAATAATGTCAAAATTAGGTCACCAGTCCACATTTTCTTTTTCATTTCCATTTAAGGCCTACAGTTTAATCCCATGACACAACACAAAGTTATGTCAGTTTGCCTTACCGAGAATATTATCATCCATCTACAGAGAGGTTCTCAATGCTGTACTTGTCAAAAAAAATTAACTAGATGAAAATCAAAAAGTAAATATCTGCCCCATCTTTTTTTCCAATAGTGTCAATTTCTAACTCATTGAGAAGCGAACCATGTCAGATAAGGATAGTGAAGTTGAAACTAAAGGGAGTCTTAAGCTTTTCTTCATACATCGATAACACATCAGCTACCAGAAGAGAAAAAGGAAACCTCAAAAAAGGGGGTCAACTGAAAAACTGAAAAAATGTAATTTTTTAATGAGCAGCTTGATGAAAGTGGTAAGTATCTACAGATGCACATGAATGTTAGTAGCGCACGTGAAGAAGAGAGACTTATGGTAGAGGATACAAACCTTTGGAACAAGAAACACAGCACAATGATATGCAAAAGGTTCAAAATCTTTTCGAGCATCAAGAAGCACAGTTCTGTAACAGAATAGGGAAGCCCCAGCTTCACCTAAACTAAGCTGAACTCTACGACCTGGACTAAGCTCTGCCAGATTCCCTTCAGCTCCGATTTTCAAGTCTTCTAATGTGTACATTACATCACAGCCACTGGAATAATCTGCACGAATTTTATTTTCATCTTCAAGTGCTTGAAAGAGGCCATGAACCTGTAATGTAAATAGGATAGCATCCAAGATCTCATCGCATAAAATATATAAGCATTCTTAGTAATTGAAAAGATCAGAAGGAGTGAAAGCATTTACCTGGTTCTTTGGACCACCAGAGGATGACTGATCAACGGATGAGAATATTTGGCCCAACGAAGGAGAATTATCTTTCTCGGCTACCACCATAAAAGTCTGTAGGCTCGACTTATCAGATGGTTTCAGAGCAATGGGATGAATCCCCATCTTCCACCCATACCGAAACTTGGGAAAGAGTAAACCTAACAGAAGGAGCAAGCAATCGAATGTCCATTCTCGAACAATTGTATAATAGACAATAGTAGCAGGTACAGATCTAACATCAAGGAACTAAGATGCAGAAATATGTCAGGACACGTCTTGATTACCTAATACATGAGATTCACCCAAAGTGAGGCAAATAAATCTCCCCCCAACTTTCAGCAGTCTTTTAACCTGGTCAGTTTAAGGACATTTTGCCACGAGTCAAAACACAATGGAGATGATCATTTGCCTATTACAAAATGGTATTATGATTATGCTGATATTATATCAATTGAGTGTAATGCGAAAAAATAATAATCGAGTTTGATTTTAGAGCACCTCAGACAAATACTGAGTTCCTAACTTTGATCCAAGCTCGGGCTCCATTAAAGCATCCAATCCTCCCTTGTCGAGAATGGCTCCAAAGCTCTCATCTGCAAACTAAATATAAACAGAATAGTTAAGAGAAGAATATAGTCCCAAAAAATAGAGAAAAAAAACTGTTTGGATATGAGAAACATCTTGCAAATGAAGTAAGCATTGTTGACAAACAGTTAACACGTAAGCAACATTGCACCAGAAACAGGACGTGACTGATTGTTTATGTTCACAAAGCAAAATAGAGTACTTATCCATCAGTAACAACATTCGATATTTTTCTCTTCATTCTTTATTCCAGAAAAGAAGATCCCAGCATACTCATTTCTTTCCAAAATATGCTTTAAGTTCAAAAAAGAAGCATGCTTTGACCCCCAGAATACATGGGAAAGCTTAATATCATGACCAAATGGTACCTTTTTGGCATTTTTCTTTCATAATACTGCTTAAATTTAACAATTTTTCACCTCTTGACGACAGAAAATGCATGATATACGTTCTACTGTATTCAGAATTATACTTTCTAGGTCTCATTTATGTGGCACCATTCAACTGTGAATTCAAAACTAGTTTTTGGAGTTCCTCAGTATTCAAACATTAAAAAAAAAGTAACTTTTTTCAGAAAGAATATTTTTTTTCAACTTGTTTCCAATATTTAACTCAAACAAACCTTCTCACAGAAACTGAATTTGCAAACTCAAAAACTCCAAAACTACAAACACACAATTACCATCTAAATTTAACTTGAAAAAAAAATCAAATCTTTTAATTTGTCAAAGCAATAAAATGTCAAATAAAGAGTAATATTTCCTATATGTAGTGTACCTGCATATTTGTCATATCCATAACACGCCATTTCATACCAGGTCTTAACCGAATATTTCTTCTCAACATATCCGAAATAACAACTTTAGAAAAATCAATATTAGTAATATTAACAAATCCCTCATCATAAAGATACTCAGATAGCTTAGAATTCCCACAACCAGGAACGAGAATTTGAATTTCTTCTTTTGGTGAAGAAACGACGTCGTTTGATGATTGAATAATGTTGAGGTGAGATAATAGTGGGTCTTGGAGCTGAGGCCATTCTGCGTACCATTCAAATGCATCATCTGAACCTCTGATTGTAAAGAAACTGTCCCAATTCTCTTTGCTTGTGAAATCTCCTAATGTTTTTAGCAATTCTTCTTGATTCTTTTGCTGCTTCTTATTCTTCCCCATTTTGTTGAGGAATGTGGGGAGTTTGAAGTTGCTAGATTTTGGGGGTATTTTGTGGTTTAGGGTTTTGACAAGGTTTAAGGTTTTAGTGATTTGACCATTTTGGGGGAACAAACAAGGAAAACAAAAAATGGTTTAAGTTTTTTAAAGAAATTGTTTTTTACTATTGAAATATATATATATATATATATCATTTTTACAGTGGTGTTTGAATTTCCAGAATCAAACGATTTATTTTTTTACTGTAATTATATCTTTTGAATTATTTATTATGATATAAATTACTTTTTACGTAAATATATAAGTTTTATTTTGACACAAATATACTGTCCTAAAATTTGAAACTTGAAAAGTAAAAAGTATCATATAAATTATTGCATAAATATCAAAGTCCTAAAATTTTACTTTCTTTATACTTGAGGTTTTTTATCTTTCCCACCTTTTCTTTCGTTACCCGCTTACTTTCCTCACATTCTTTTTGTTATTTACTTTACTTTTTGGTGTTTTAGGACCATTAAACAGGAATTCGGGATGATTTTCAATTTTTGCATGCTAATGTCCACGTCATTTTCATGAAATGGGCGACGGGCGACGGGCTCCGAATCTCCTTAATTTTGTGGGACCACCGGAAACAATTTAATGAACTATTGCCATTGCTTTGTCGTAACCGTTCCTCATTTTTTGGCGTTTTAGGACCATAAAATAGGAATTCACGACGATTTCCAATTTTCGTGCGCTAATGTCCGCGCCTCCTTTATGAATTCGGGCAACAGGCTCTCAATTGCCTAAAATTTTGTGGGCCCGTCAGAAATGATCTAATGAATAATAGTCATTACTTCGCCATGACCATTCCTCATTTTTTGGCGTTTTAGGGCCATAAAATAGGAATTCAAGGCAATTTCAAAATTTTTGTGTACTAAGGTCCATGTCATCTTCATGAATACGAAAGACGGGCTTCAAATCGTCTACAAATTTGTGGACACATTAGAAACGAGCTAATGAACAATAGGCATTGCTTTACCACTACTATTTCTCGTTTTTTGACGTTTTAGGGCCATAAAATAGAAATTTAGGACGCTTTCTAATCTTGTATGCTAATATCCACGCCATCTTCATGAATTTGGATGACGGGCTTCAAATCGCCTTAAATTTTTTTGGACCATCAGAAACAATCTAATGAACAATTTTCTCTGCTTTGTCATGACCGTTCCTTATTTTTTGGAGTCTTAGGGCTATAAAATAGAACTTCCTTTCGATTTTTCGTGTGTTAATATCCATGCCATCTTCATGAATTCCAACGATGAGCTCCGAATCGCCTAAAAATTTGTGAGCCCATCAAATATGACCCAATAGTCATTGCTTCGCCATGACTGTTCCTCACTTTTTGTTATTTTAGGGTCAGAAAACAAGAATTTAGGAAGATTTCTAATTTTTTGTGTGACATCTTCGTGAATTCAGGCGACGGGCTTTGAATCGCCTAAAATTTTACGTGCCCATCAGAAACGACCTAATGGCAAAAATAGGAATTTAGGATAATTTCAGATTTTTCGTGTGCTAATTTCCATGGCATATTCATGAATGTGGGCGACGAGCTCCGAATTACCTAATAATTTTTAGGCCAATCAGAAATGACTTAATGAATAATGTTCACCGCTTCGCCATGAACATTCCTTTTTTTTTGGCATTTTAGGGCTATAAACACGAATTCAGGACAATTTTCTAATTTTTCGTGTGCTAATGTGCGCGCCATCTTCATGAATTCGGGCAAAATGGCTCTGAATTGCCTAAAATTTTATGGGTCCATCCGAAATGACCAAATAAATAATAGTCATTGCTTTGCCATGATCGTTACTCATTTGTTGATATTTTAGGGCCATAAAATAAAAATTCAGGACGATTTTAGTTTTTGGCCTGCTAAAGTCTATGCCATCTTCATGCATTCGAGCTACGGGCTCTGAATCGTTCAAATTTTTTTGGCACATCATATTTGACCTAATGAACAATAATCATTGCTTCACCAAGATCATTCCTCATTTTTTGATGTTTAGGGCCATAAAACAAGAATTCAAGACTATATTCAATTTTTCATATGCTAATGCCCATGACATCTTCATGAATTCGGATGATGGGCTCTGAATCGCATATAATTTTGTGGATCCAATAGAAACGATCTAATGAACTATAGTCATTGCTTCGTCATTATCATTCCTCATATTTGGAGTTTTAGGGCCATTAAAGAGGAATATAGGATTATTCTCAGATTTTCGTTTGCTATAGTCCTCGCCATATACTTGAATTCGGGCGACCGACCCCGAATCTCCTAAAATTTTGCGGGCCCATAAAAAGTGACCAAATGAACAATAGTCATTGATTCACCATGATCGTTCCTCGTTTTTTGGCACTTAAGGGCCATAAAACAGGAATTCATGAAGATTCTCAGATTTTTGTATGTTTGTAGTCCACGACATCTGCATGAATTCAGGCGGCAAACCCCGCTTCTCCTAAAATTTGCGGGCCCATAAAAATGACCTAATGAACAATAGTCATCGTTTCGCCATGACCATTCCTCTTTTTGGTATTTTAGGTTCGTAAAACAAGAATTTAGGACGACTTCTACATTTTTGTGTGTATAGTCCACGTCATCTGCATGAATTCAGGTGACCGGCCCAGAATGTCATAAATTGTTGGGAGCCCATAAAAAATAACCTAATGAATAATAGTCATCGCTTTGCCGTGAACGTTCCTCTTTTTTTTTTTTTTTGCATTTTAGGGCCATAAAATAGAAATTCAAGACGATTCCCACATTTTCATGTGTTATAGTCCACGCCGTCTCCATAAATTCGGGCGACCGGTCCCGAATCTCCTAAAATTTTGCGAGCGAATAGAAAATGACCTAATGAATAATAGTTATCGCTTCACCAACATTGTTCCTCGTTTTTTGGCGTTGTTTTAGGCAATAAAATAGGAGTTCAAGACGATTCCAAGATTTTCATGTACTATAGTACACGCCATCTACATGAATTCAGAAGATCGGCCCCGAATCTCCTAAAGTTTTGCGGGCCCATAAAAAACTCACATAATGATCAATAGTCATCACTTCACTATCTTCATCATTGTTCCTCGTTTTTTGGCGTTTGGGGGCCCTAAAAAGGAATTTCGCCTGTTTTTCAGATTTTCTTGTGGTATAACCCACACCATCTAAATGCATACACGCAATCGGACCCGGATCGCCTAAAATTTAGCTGGCCCATCAAAAATAACTCAAGGAATAATAGGCATCGCTTCGCCACGAACGTTTCTCGTTTTTGGCATTTTGGGGCCATAAAAAGAATTTCGCCCGATTCCTAGATTTTCGTGAGCTAAGACCACGCCATTTGTATGCATCCGGACGACTAGACCTGAATCGCCTAAAAAATTTTGGCCCATCAAAAATGACCTAAGGATCAATAGGCATTGCTTTGCCATGATCGTTCCTCGTTTTTCGGCATTTTGGGACCATAAAAAAGTAATTACGCCTGATTCCCAAATTTTCGTGTGATATAGCCCACGCCGCCTGCATGCATCCGGGTGACCGGACCCGAATCACCCAAAATTTTGCCGGCGCGTCAAAATGACCCAAGAAACAATAGTCATCGCTTCGCCATGACCGTTCTTTATTTTTTTTGGCATTTTGGAGCCATGAAAAATGAATTCTACCTGATTTCTAGATTTCTATGTGCTATAGCCCATGCATGCATCTGGGCGACCATACCCGAATCACCTAAAATTTTGTCAGCATATCGAAAATGACCCAAGGAACATTAGTCACCGCCTCACCATGAACTTTACTCGTTTTTTGGCGTTTTAGGGCCATAAAACTAGAATTCCATCTGATTCTCAGATTTTCGTATACTATTCCCACGCCTCCTGCATGGGTCCAGGTGCAAGGACCCGAATCGCCTAACATTTTGTCGTCCTATCAAAAACGACCTAAGGAATAATAATCACTGCATTTCCATGGCCATTATTTGTTCTTGTGGCGTTTTAAGGCCATAAAATTAGAATTCCGCTCAATTCTCAGATTTTCGTGGGCTATAGCCCACGCCTCCTGCCTGGGCCCAGGCGTCCGGACCCCGATCTCCTAAAATTTTGTCGTCCCATAAAAAATGTCCTAAGGAATAATACTCACCTCCTCGCCATGACTATTACTCATTTTATGGCGTTTTAGGGCCATAAAACTGGAATTCCATCCGATTCCAGAATTTTCATATGCTATGGCCCACGCCTCCTCCATGGGCCCAGGCGCACGGACCCATATCGACTAAAATTTAGCCGGCACATCAAAAATAACCTAAGTAACAATAGTCAGCGCCTCGCCATGACCGTTACTCGTTTCATGGAATTTTATGTCCATAAAACTAGAATTCCACACGATTCTAAGATTTTTGTGTGTTATAGCCCGCGCCTCCTGCATGGGCCTAGGCGCCGGGAACCAGATCTCCTAAAATTTTGCTGGCCCATAAAAGACAACCTAAGGAACAACAGTCACCACCTCGTCATGACCGTTACTCATTTTTTTGCGTATTAGGGCCATAAAACTAGAATTTCATCCGATTCCTAGATTTTCGTGTGTTATAACCCACGCCTCATGCATGGGCTCGGGCGCTAGAACCCGGATTGCCTAAATTCCCCCCCCCCC